TGGATGCACGCCATCAAAGAGCTACTAGGCATCAGGAACAATTACGCAATTACAAGAGGTAATTGCACTCAGCTGGTGGTCATTAGGCTCTTCTCCAGACTATAAAAAAGACTGCTTGTGATAGCCCTTCTTACAGAAGTCAACGCATTGACTAATGAGAACGTAACGAACTTGGCAGGCTGGATTGCTGCCAAGGTCCTTATCTGTTTGTTTGCTTGGCTTTCAGCCACCAAGATTCTAGTCTTGTTATTAAAGGACATTCTAATTAAGCTTGTCTTGGCTTTCATTACTGGACAGAGGAGTGGGTCAGAGCACCACACTGTTCTATCTTTCTGAGAAGCAGGCTGTGGTCTATTTAGTTAAATGCTTCCCTGGAATCTAAGTGTACTATATCCACAGCGTTTCCTTGATCTACTAATTTAGTCTTTTTGTCGAAGAAAGTAATAAGCTTTGTCTAATATGACCTACTGGCTTCTAATAATTCCTTCAATTCTAGCTGCTCACAAATCACAACAACAAATCACGAATTTCCCCCTTTTTTGAAAATTGGAACCACGTCAACTCTTTTCCAGTCTTCTAGCACTTTCCCCATGCTCAAGGAGTTCTGGAATGTTTTCAGTGGTGCCAAGGTTGCATCTGCCAGCTCTTTCAGTACACTGGGATATAATCCATTGGATCCTGGTGGTTTCAATTCTTTTAAAGTAGATACCATGTTTCCCTGAAAATAAGACCCAGTCTTATATTTTTTTTGCCACTAGAAAATAGCAATAGCCGTTAGACTTATATACCGCTTCATAGGGCTTTCAGCCCTCTCTAAGCGGTTTACAGAGGGTCAGCATATCGCCCCCAACAACAATCCGGGTCCTCATTTTACCCACCTCGGAAGGATGGAAGGCTGAGTCAACCTTGAGCCGGTGAGATTTATTTATTTTCTTTCTTTCTTTCTTTCTTTCTTTCTTTCTTTCTTTCTTTCTTTCTTTCTTTCTTTCTTTCTTTCTTTCTTTCTCTCTCTCTCTCTCT